CCCCTTTAGACACTCCTGCAGAAATATATGACCTTTACTTGAACAAACATGTCATCTTGACGGATTCATAATTTGATTCTGCTTATGAATTAAACTGACCTGATTCTGTTTTTCATCTCTCAAAGGTCTTGAGGGAAGCAAAAGAACGTGAGGAGCAGCAGAAAGCTGAAAACATCACTTCAGAAACAGACAAGAAGGCTCATTATGGGATGTTGTTTGATGAGTTTCAAGGCCTGTCCCATCTGGAGGCTTTGGAGATCCTCTCTAGAGAGAGTGAAGCCAATGTCAGTAGAATTTTTTGCAACTATAAAACAATGCTAGAATTTAAAACGGTGAAGGATTTGAACTCAGGTGTTGTGTTTGTGTGCAGGTGAAATCTGTGCTTACCACTCTGTTTGGTGAGGAGTTAGTTAAACTAAAACAAGTACTACAGGGCATTAAAGAGCCGTTTTCCCTTATGGAGTTTGACGACGAGGTGGAGGATGATATGAAAGGTAAAAGCTTACAATGAACACAAAGCTTAAGTCAAAAAAATATAGAGATGTTAACATCTTCGAAATCTCGGACTCAGTAAATGAACAATAAGTTGTTGTTAAGAACAAAAAATCTTTTATTCCCAGGTGATGATGGCGAGGATTTTGTAAAGGAACTGACAGATGTCCTCGAAAGATTACAGATCTCCACATCGGCTGACAAACTTAGCAAGGTATCACTTGAGCATCTCTTCGTAATTGTAATCTTAAAGGTGGGGTAAGCGATTTCTTTTGATAGCTCCGCCCCACACATACGTACGCAACCCAGGCAACAGTACCAGCAAAACCAATGTTACACCGTGTCTACACCGGACGCGAGTGGTGCGGCGCGACAAAATACTACAGAACTCATTATAATCAGTGATGCTATCTACACCATAGATATATATACATATCTATGGTCTACACTGGATGCAGCGTGGCACGACAAGACAAATCCCCGACAGAAAACTGCTGCTGCGTTCTATTTATGACGTATCGACACAAATTTCAAATGATTTTCAATGATCGCTTTGTCGCGTCCAGTGTACTAGACAGACTTTAGCTGTTGCGGCACAGACACGGTGTTACTCACCTATCGAGAAGAAACAAAGCAACCTCGGCGTCCAATCGCAGGCCTTCCGCTCCTTGAGTTCTCTCCAGCGCTGGAAAGCTGATCCGAAATTTACACGGGTCCTACTTATTGCCTTAAGCCTTCTTTTGTTCCGCAGAGGTTTTCCTCTTTTGTTTTTTATCTGCCATCTCTATCTTTCTGTCGCTCAGCTCGCTAATGTCCGTCCCGTGCACTGAACGCTGTCCTCCACATCATGAGTAGACACGCCCCTTACTGCTGATTGGCTACAAGTTTGTTTTGCTGGTCGCCCGAATCAGTTTTCTAAAGTGTTTTTTAAAAATCGCTTACCCCACCTTTAAAGTATTTTGCGTGTCAGATTATTTACACTTACTCATATCCACTCAGGCCAGAAAAAAGGCATTCAACCATATCACAAACATTAAGCTACAAAGTGAAAACCCACAGCAGGAAGAAGAAGAGGAGAAAGAACAGAAAACACCAGTGACAAAATGCAGTGTTGAGGTCTGTAACTCTTGTGACCTAATGACTTTTGAGATATGCATACGTATATCTTAGAATAATGTATATTTGTGTTGTGTTCTGACAGTTGAGGTTTCGTTTTCATAGGAGGCCCATTTGTTGGCCGTTACAAGCCTGGCCGAGTTCACAGCCAGATCCATAGAGCAGTTCCACAAAACCGCTGAACCCTATTTTGATAGCTCCGCCCCACACATACGTACGCAACCCAGGCAACAGTACCAGCAAAACCAATGTTACACCGTGTCTACACCGGACGCGAGTGGTGCGGCGCGACAAAATACTACAGAACTCATTATAATCAGTGATGCTATCTACACCATAGATATATATACATATCTATGGTCTACACTGGATGCAGCGTGGCACGACAAGACAAATCCCCGACAGAAAACTGCTGCTGCGTTCTATTTATGACGTATCGACACAAATTTCAAATGATTTTCAATGATCGCTTTGTCGCGTCCAGTGTACTAGACAGACTTTAGCTGTTGCGGCACAGACACGGTGTTACTCACCTATCGAGAAGAAACAAAGCAACCTCGGCGTCCAATCGCAGGCCTTCCGCTCCTTGAGTTCTCTCCAGCGCTGGAAAGCTGATCCGAAATTTACACGGGTCCTACTTATTGCCTTAAGCCTTCTTTTGTTCCGCAGAGGTTTTCCTCTTTTGTTTTTTATCTGCCATCTCTATCTTTCTGTCGCTCAGCTCGCTAATGTCCGTCCCGTGCACTGAACGCTGTCCTCCACATCATGAGTAGACACGCCCCTTACTGCTGATTGGCTACAAGTTTGTTTTGCTGGTCGCCCGAATCAGTTTTCTAAAGTGTTTTTTAAAAATCGCTTACCCCACCTTTAAAGTATTTTGCGTGTCAGATTATTTACACTTACTCATATCCACTCAGGCCAGAAAAAAGGCATTCAACCATATCACAAACATTAAGCTACAAAGTGAAAACCCACAGCAGGAAGAAGAAGAGGAGAAAGAACAGAAAACACCAGTGACAAAATGCAGTGTTGAGGTCTGTAACTCTTGTGACCTAATGACTTTTGAGATATGCATACGTATATCTTAGAATAATGTATATTTGTGTTGTGTTCTGACAGTTGAGGTTTCGTTTTCATAGGAGGCCCATTTGTTGGCCATTACAAGCCTGGCCGAGTTCACAGCCAGATCCATAGAGCAGTTCCACAAAACCGCTGAAATTCTGCTCCACTGTAACACTGAGGGGGTGACGGCCACAGAACAAGCCCAAGTCCTATCGCAGTGAGTTATCTTGCAAAAAATGTGCAAAATTGGCATTTGGAGAAATTAAAATCATAATGTGTTTCACTTTCAGAGTTACTATTGTTATTTGTAAGGAGGTGTCACTACTATCCAAAATGTTCACGTCATGTTTGACTACCATTGGGGTAAGATGCTTCACTTCTTATAGTTTAGAGGTCTATAATATGTTTATGGTCATTATAAAATGTGAGTTTCGTATGCCATCAAGTCAAAATGCTTATATTTCAGGCAAATGAAAAGGGAGAAGTTCTCAATCCACTTATTACCAGCATTTTTCTGGAGGTTTGTCTTCATTTTATGTATTTTTTTTCTGCTTTGTTTATAAATTATTAACATATTTTTCACTTTATTTTCACTTTTAAGGCATCAAACAGTGCATCATATATCCAGGACGCGTTCCAGCTCCTCATGCCAGTGCTGGAAGTGTCTCATATTCAGAGGACGGTGGAGTTGGCACAGTGATAACCACTCAGAAACACTTTACTGTGCCAACTCAGATTTTAATAACAAAAAACCAACATGCAACAACATATGATGGAAGTACAATAATGTGTTATTTACATTCAAGTAGATATGGGAAGCACATGACATACTGTATGGTGTGCACAGCTTTTGCACATCCCTTGATTGTTGGCTTTTTTCCTATCTTAGTATATTTTTGAATAGACTCAGAACTGTCAGAACTTTCCCTATAACTGACAGTGTCAGAATGAATACAGTAATTTAAATAAATGTTTTATGTCTAAATGTATAATGAAATGAATAGAAATCATCTTTTTAATATCTTTAAGACTTAAATTGTTTTCAAATAATTATGCAAGTCATATCAGTATTAATGTTCAATTATCTTTTAAATAAACAATTGTTACATGTCTTTTGGATTATAGAACTTTAACTTTCTATGAAAATGCAATGTATGTAAATGGTGTGGTATAAAACAAATGTGTACTTATAACTTTTTGAAAATATTTAAGATATAATCTATAATATTGTTAACTATAGATAATGTTATATATACAGTGGTGGCCTGAATTATTAGAACACTACTATTTCCACCAGCATAAAAATGGTTTTAGGTCAGTTATTTTTATCTTTTGCTGTAGTGTTTCGGTAGGAAATATCAGTTTACATTTCCAAACATTCATTTTGCCATTA